TTTTTTTTTTTGAGACAGGGTCTTTCCTCTGTTGCCCAGGCTAGTGTGCAGTGGCACTATCATGGCTCATTATAGTCTCAACATCCTGGGCTCAAGCAATCCTCCCACTTCAGCCTCTTGAGTAGCCGGGACTTCAGGTGTGCACCACCATGCCCAGCTAATTTCTTAATTTTTTTGTAGATACGGGCCTTGCTTTGTTGCCCAGGCCTGTCTAGAACTCCTGGTCTCAAGCAATTCTCCCACCTTGGCCTCACAAAATCCTAGGTTTACAGGCATGAGCCACCACACTTGGCCTTATCTTTTTGAAAATCTATTCCATCACTCTTCTATCACTGTTGTCATCACTCTCAGAGTCATGGAAGCTCAAGATCATGGAGTCTTTTTTTTTTGAGGGAAGGTCTCGCTCTGTGGCCTAGGCTGGAGTAAAGTGGTGTGAACATGACTCACTGTAGCCTTGATCTCCTGCACTCAAGCAATCCTCCCACCTCAGCCTCCCAAGGAGCTGGAACCACAGGCACGTGCCAACATGCTTGGCTAATTTTTTTTTTTTTTTTTTGAGACGGAGTTTTGCTCTTGTTGCCCAGGCTGGAGTGCAATGGCACAACCTTGGCTCGCTGCAACCTCTGCCTCCCGGGTTCAAGTGATTCTCCTGCCTCAGCCTGTAGAGTAGCTGGGACTACAGATGACCACCACCATGCCCGACCAATTTTGTATTTTTTTTTTTTAGTAGAGCCGGGTTTCCTCATGTTGGCCAGGCTGGTCACAAACTCCCGACCTCAGGTGATCTGCTTGCCTCAGCCTCCCAAAGTGTTGGGATTACAGGCATGAGCCACCGCATCCAGTCATGCCCAGCTAATTTTTTTATTTTTTGGTAGAGATGAGGTCTCACCTTGTGGCCCAGGTTGGTCTTGAACTCCTGGGCTTAAGCAATCCTCCTACCTAGGCCTCCCAAAGTACTAGGATTACAGACATGAGCCACAGTACCTGGCCTAGAGTTACTTTTGACTTTTCCTTGTTCCGTTTATGTATAGCACCTCCTTTCATTCCTTACTGTCTCCCTCTCCTTTCCTATAGTCACACCTCAAAAATCCTGGCTGGCTCCTGTCCTCTCTCACCTGATAACTGCCACAGTCCCCTATCTGGTATTCCCACTTCTTGTCATCCTCCTGGAATATACCCTGCGATTCCCCATGAGGTTACACTTCCTAAAAATGAAGCTTTGCATTTGTCACCCAAATATAAACCTTTCAGTGGCTCTTCTTCAGAGATAAAATCTAGGCTTTACATCTGATTTTCAAAACCCTGAACAATCCAGTTCCTTCTGCTGTCTTCAGCTTCATCTCTACTTCATGCATACAGGAATTCTCTGCTGAGCTTAACAGTTTAAGTCAAAATTGGACAGCCTTAACTAGGGTGATTATGTAATTTACTATCCAAACTGGAACCCTTTTCAAAGTGAAAATATGTGCCATCAAGAAATGAGGTCAGCTGGGTAAGAAATGGGGTCAGCCGGGTGCAGTGGCTCATGCCTGTAATCCCTGCACTTAAGGAGGCCAAGGCAGGTGGCTTGCTTGAGCTCAGGAGTTCAAGACCAGCCTGGGCAACACAGCGAGACCCCATCTCTACCAAAAATACAAAAAATTAGCCAGATGTGTGGCATGCACCTGCGGTCCCAGCTACTTGGGAGTCTGAAGTGGGAGGATCGTGTGAGCCTGGGGGGCGGAGATTGCAGTGAGCCGAGGTCACGCCACTGCACTCCAGTCTGGGTAACAGAGTGAGACCCTGTCTAAAAATAAAAAGAAATGGCATCAAGTGAGGTGGCTCACACCTGTAATCCCAACACTTTGGGAGGCCTAAGGCAGGAGGATCATTTGAGCCCAGGAGATTGAGACCAGCCTAGACAATGTACAGAGACCCTGTCTCTAAAAAAAATAAATTAGCCGGGCACAGTGGTGCACACACATGGTCCCAGCTACTCAGGAGGCTGAGGTGGGACTGTTTCTTGAGCCCAGGTGATCGAGGCTGCAAAGCTGTGATCATGGCCTGGGCAACAGAGCAAGACTCAAAAAAAAAAGAAAAAAAAAAGAATTGGTCCACAGGACATAAACTGGTATTGTCCTGTATTAACTGGGAGGTATGATCACTCTGTTCTTAATGTTACCTTGCCATCTATACACAGGCCACCTCAGATCAGCTACTAATGGAATATGTCCAGAGTCCTCACCAGTCTCTTCTCTCCTCTAAATTTTCTGCTCTAAGTCTGGTATCTGGAGTCTCCATCTTTGATAAGCCCCTTCCAGCCCTCAGGTTAGGCCACCTGGTTAGCTTTCAGTTTGGCCTTCTCACTGTAACAGACTCTCTGACCTACCAGCTCCCGGGAGCTGGCCCTGCCCCTCCCAGGCCAGCCTTAGCTCTAATGCTTGAAGAGCATTGCCACCTCCACAGTCACTGCCCTTCATATCTCCCCCTGCCTTGGACATTTGTCCAATTGCCACCCTTCCTTCCACACTCAGATCTTCCAGCCTAGCCATTAGGATGTCTCTCTCTGACTTTCTGTGGCCTCTATTTTCTCTATCATTTGCTTTGCACTCACCATAGCCCTACTGAGCAGCAAATAACCTTGTGGGATTTAGTTTGGAGTCCCTAAGAAAGGCTACTGGCAACAAAGGTCCTGGCTGCTTAATCATCTCACTCCCAGCCTGTAACAGATCGGGTGCTTGGTGAATCACTACAAAGGGCATTGGGGAAAGGTGGTAAGGCTGGTGATGCTAGGATCATCTGACGGAGGAGACCTGGGTTGCAATGGGATGCAGTCTCTCCCATTTTCCCTCTCTTTGGAGTGGATCCCCTCTGAGAAAATGCAGACATTCTTATATGCAAACAAGCAGCCACAGAGAGACGCCCATCTCTAATAAACAGCACGCCAAAGCTCTCTGGCAATGACAGCATCTACCCTCTCATGCATGTAGCTCTTCAATAAATGTCAAATCCCAAAAATTACAGCAAAATCCTCAGAGAGACAATGGTTCTCTACTACACATGGACAAGCAGGTAATTATTTGGAAACACTCAGAGAAATGGGTTTTTCAGTGGCCTCCAGTTTCCCATGGGTCAAGGTGGGCTTCCTGCCCCATCTATTCCCCGTGACCAAGCAAGCCCTGTGTTCTGCTGTCCCTCCCCTTGTCCTAATCAACCAATTACCCTCATCCTGTTTCCTGAAGCTCCTCCACCCGCCTAACTCAAAATGGCTCGATTTCCTCCTGACCGCACAGCACTCAGAGTTTCTACCCAATTAACAAACAGTGGGGCGGAGGCAGGCGGGGAAAGCAGGTTATAAAACAAAATAGACAGTGTGACCTCATTTTGTTAAATCTTTACAAAATATTTTTTGTTTGTTTGAGACGAGTCTTGCTCTGTTGCCCAGGCTGGAGTGCAGTGGCACAATCTCAGCTCACTGCAAAATCCGCCTCCTGGGTTCAAGTGATTCTCCTGCCTCACTCTCCCAAGTAGCTGAAACTACAGGGGCATGCCACCAGGCCCAGCTAATTTTTGTATTTTTAGTAGAGATGAGGTTTCACCACATTGGCCAGGGTAGTCTCAAACTCCTGACCTCAAGGGATCTGCCCACCTTGGCCTCCCATAGTACTGGGATTACAGACGTGAGCCATCGCGCCTGGCCAACAAAATGTTTTAAAGTAGATATTTATATGGAGAAAGTCTGGTAGAAAATACAATAACCTATTAATAGTGATTTTTCTCATCTAAGTTTTTCTATAAAGGGGTCTTACTTGCATAATAAAAATTAATGAAGCAAAAATAACCATAGGTATATATGTTGGCTTCTTTTTTGCTAGTGGTAGTGGGCGTGGTACCCTGCCACTCTATCATGACCACCACCCGCAGATTAAGAAGAAAAACAACCCTAAGGCCCAGGAGACCAGCTGCATTTGTGGCCCTCTGATGAGAGTCAGAGGCAAAGGTTGCCTTCATTCCTACCAGTGTGTAAAAACAAACTCATGATACTCTCATCACTCACCTGCCAATGGCAGGCTACCACCTACGCTATTGTTTTGTTGTTGTTTTGTTTTGTTTTGTTTTTGCCTTCCATATCCCTAGCCAAGAATTAAGGTGTGCTGGGAAATGCAAATTCTATGTGCCAAAAAAATAAGCATACCTTGTTTGTGAGAAGCAAAATAAAATAGGGCCCTGAAAACAATAGAACACAGAAGACAAAATGCAGGATTTAGCAGAAAATTTACATTCCACTTTTGATGTCAGTCAAGTTCTTTTCCTTCTAGATTTTCTGCCTCATAAGTATTCAGTTCAGTTTATGAAACACCTACTATCCGCCAGGCACTGTTTGTTGGTATAAGGAGGAATGAGGCCATGTTAAGTTGCAAAGACTTTGTAGACAAACGGGGGATGTCTGCAGCATCAAACACTGCCCTTGAGCCTCATTACCTGGGCTTGTGTTTGAGGCTACTGCTAGTCTCCTCTGACCACACTATCTGATTACGCTGAGCCCGTATGGCTGGGCTCTTCCACCTGGAAGTCACTTTGGCCTCTCACTGAGCTATAGGTGATATTAGGGAGGAAAGCTGCCTGTTGTCTTTGAGGTGTCACTCTGCAACTCACCCAAGTAAATTTCATATATAACACATGAGCTCTATGTAAGTCAGGCCATTCCAAACATACCCTCCAAAGTTGAAGAAAATCCACCCGATCCTTTTCAAGAGACGCAGTAACACACAGTTACATTTGCATGGATTACCATATGTGTTCCTTTTACTGGAGACCCAGAATGAGAAAACACTGACCTCAGCCATAAATGAAGCTTTTAAAGTTCAAATTCTGCCTAACAACTACACTAAACAACTGAGCACTTTGTGGAAACCCAAAGGTGAGGAAATGAATATGTGGGAGGTACATGTGAGTGTCCCCTCCTCCTCACCATGCTTAACTTGTCCTTCCCCACCAAGCCCAGCTGGAGGGATACTCACCCACACAGCTCTTTCCGTCCTCAGCCAGGGCGTAGCCACTGTAGCACTGGCAGACGAAGGAGCCCGGCACATTCACACAGAGCTGCCCACAGTTGTGGTCCTCCATGGCACACAGATCCTGGACTGAGGCAAAGTCACGCTGTTAGAACACAACGTCAGGCACACCTGAGAACACCTCCAGCCCAAGGCGAAGCAACAAGCAGCTCCAGAGCCCTCACCAAAGTAACTTTTAAAAACATTATAGGATTCGATGTGTGATCATAGTAGAAAATTTGGAAAGCATTAAAAAATAGATAAAACAAAATTCACCTGTAATCCCCCCACCTGTAATCCCCCCACCCAGAGGCAACCACTGTTAACATTTTGGTGAGTTTTCTTTCCAGGTGAGTTTCTGCGTGTATATAAAAACACATTTTTCAGTCAGGCACAGCGGCTCACGGCTGTAATCCCAGCACTATGGGAGGCCGAGGTGGGCGGATCACTTGAGGTCAGGAGTTGGAGACCAGCCTGGCCAACATGGTGAAACCTCATCTCTACTAAAAATACAAAAATTAGTTGAGCGTGGTGGTGTGTGCTTGTAATCCCAGCTACTCAGGAGGCTGAGGCAGGAGAATCGCTTGAACTCAGGAGGCGGAGGTTGCAGTGAGCCGAGATTGTGCACTGCCCTCAAGCTTGGACGACAGAGCGAGTCTCTGTTTCAAAATAAAGAAATAATATAAAAATAAATATAACACATTTTTCAAAGTTGGAATTACTCATCACCTCTATGAAATACATTAAATAATTTTTTTGAGATGGAGTCTCGCTCTGTTGCTGGCATAAGGAGGAATGAGACAAAGCTCTTTGAAAACCCTCTTTGTGCTCTATTTATTCATCCTAGGAACAAACGAGGAAAATGGAGAAGCCGAAAGAGGTTAGGTAGAGGTAACAAACATTACCAAGGAGAAATACATACATGCCTATTCGTGGTCTTATTTTGGTCAAATATTTATTCCGTGTCCACAAAGTGCTAAGCTCTGGCTGTTTATTCACATGCAATATAGGAACAGACTTATAGTATGCATCTACTGCAACAGAACTAAGAATATGTTGGTGGATGAAAATATTAAAGGCGTCTTCCATCCATCACTGACTCAGTCTCTGACACTATTTCCCAGCAAGGAGAACAGCTCGGATACCATGAAACAGCTAGCTGTACCAGTGATTTTACCATTAAAACGGGAGACAATCAGAGAGCATTAAAGGGGTTGAATATATTGAAGAGAATTTTCTCTGGTTAAAAGCTATCACTGGCCAGGTGCGGTGGCTCAAGCCTGTAATCCAAACACTTTGGGAGGCTGAGGCGGGTGGATCTTCTGAGGTCAGAAGTTTGAGACCAGCCTGATCAACATGGTGAAACCCTGACTCTACTAAAAATACAAAAATCAGCTTGGCGTGGTGGCACGCGCCTGTAATGCCAGCTACTCGGAAGGTGGGAGGCTGAGGCAGGAGAAAGGCTTGAACCCGGGAGGTAGAGGTTGCAGTGAGCCAAGATCACACCATTGCACTCCAGCCTGGGTGACAGAACGAGACTGTCTAAAAAAAAAAAAAGCTATCACTACAACAGGTATGATTTTAAAAAACTTAATTACCTAGAAAGCTTGATTAATTACTGAATCCAATGGCTACATTTTAATATCATCTTCTAGATCTTTGAATTTCATAGTTTATTATGCTTTTAGATAAATATAAAATATCACATTGATTTTTAAAAAGATAAAAGCTGATTTGATTCAACATCTCTATTAAATGCATTAAACAATTTTAAACATGAAAACTTACATCATTGCATTTTTAAAACGCTTAGGTCTAAGATTCTACAAATAAGAATTCTGGTTTTAAAATTCTAAAGGAAGTATTTTCACTCCCAAATCAATAAAGCAGATAAAAAAAAAAAAAGCCTTATAGACACAAATTGTTTTACCTCTCAGCAGTATGTTTATATCTTACATTTCCAATTAGGAACTCCAACCAGAATGTCCAATGTAGATTTCCAATGGATTCAGATGTAAGGACAACACCCATAACCAGAAGAAAACTTCAGCTAATACAAAAATCATAGTGAGTAATCAAAGAATGACAAAACCTAAATCAGCTAGGCCAGAAATATAAGAAATGTCTGAATCATACGATAGTCATTCATTTACTCAGTAAATATGTGTTGGGCACCTACTATGTCCTGGGCATTGGGGATATCGTGGTGAACAAAACAGACAAGGCGTTTCTGCTGTCACACAGCTTGTATTCTACTAGCGGGTAGTAACAAGAAGCTTTAGGAAGAGTATTTTCGGCCAAAAGAACAGTGAATGCAAAGGTCCTGAAGAACAAACTGACCCCATTTGAGGAACAGAAATGCCAGAGTGGCTGTTAGATGCCACCTAAATAACTAACATGCGAGGCAGGACATGATAAAAATCCCTAAGAGAAGTGCCAAGAAAACTTTCCCTTCCGGCATAAATCATAATGTTAACTACCTATGTGTTTATGGAGTGATGGAGGTACTGTGTCTTGGAGCTTACCAGACTCTAAGCTCCCTAAGTGGGTGGGCAGTGTCCCTGCACAAAGTCCTGACGACTAGGAGGTGACACTCCAGCATGTTGGAACCAGCTCTGGAAGGGTGGCAGCAACTTCTCCACCTGGGTCCTCCCAATCTCTACTGCAGATGCTGCCTTGCCCCCATCAGGGGTCTGGCAGGAACTCTGCCTACCATGGTTACCAAGTAGTGGCGTGAACACAGGTGATTTTTCATTCTTTTATTTATAATTGTCTGATTTCATATTTTCTAACAGGAACTTTTATAATAATGGAGGAAGAAAAAAATCAACCTATTACAAGTGAACCCTTTTGAAAGTACCATTTCAAAAGCAATGAACCAGGACTTCGAAGGAACAATCTTTTTTTCTAAAAGGCTTCCCTGCACAGGGTAGGCAGAGCAAGGCAAGGACATGCTTGTTCCTTTCAGGATGGGCTGGGATATCCACAGAAGAGTCTGTGAGTAACTGCAAGCTCCCATCTGCAGAAGCAGCAGGGACCTTTGAAAATCTCCATGCCAAGGTACTCCCCACCACAATTAAATTAGACTGGTAGGGGGTGGGATTTGGGCAGTGGTGTTTGTCAAAGTCCCCAGGTGGCCCCAGTGTGCAGCCGGGCTGAATGTCATTGAACCTAACAGATAAAAGGTCCTCACAATCCTCCGTGGGGAAGGGGCCCAGATCCAGGAGTCAGTCTCCCCCTTTAATGACTGAGACCCTAAGGTTCAGCTTTCCTCTTCTAAACAAATCTGAGTGATTTTTGTCCTTGCTCACCTCTCCAAGAGGCTAAAAGAACCCCAAACACCTCTGTGCGGGTGCGAGATTACTCTTGCATCCCAGAACTGTCCCACAAACAGCAAGCTTGCCAGTTGGCTCCATGCGGATTGTCCTTCCTTACTGTTTTTAGAATTGTTGGGGATTTATGGCCATGAGTGATTTGTACCGACCCAAGGGAAACCATTCAGGGATTAATCTAATTAAACAAAGACAAAGGAATAAATACAGACTGGGTTCTGACAAAACAACTTTGCTGTTTTTCTGGCAGTGGCCATTTCCTTTTGAAACAAATACAGATGTTTTTGGATGATTCCTTATGCTTTTGAAAAACAGCCCTTCTTTCTCTCTGAGGCCAGGAGGATTTCACTGAAGTATGACAAGCACTGCATCCAGATCTCCCCCTACCCCGGCACAGCCTTCCACCTCCTCCACCTGGTGACCCCTGTGAATGGCTCACAGCCCCAGTCAAATGTCACCTCCTGTGGGAAGCCTCCTTCAAGTTGGCTGGACTTAAGGCTTCTTCCCCCGTGTCCCTACAGCACTATAGACATGGCTCTGCTCTAGCATTTAGGCACTGATCCCATGGTATTGGAAGGACTTGGTCACGGCTGTCTGCCCCAATATAAACAGGTCAGTTTTGACCCCCCAGAGCCTAGCACAGTGTCCTAGCACATGTATTTGGCCTCCATAAGAGTTCATTTGCTGAATGAACAATGAAAAAGGCCCAGATGCCCTGCCTCCCAGGAGGGATGGTCCTAAAATCCTAAGAATAGCCTCCTCTGTCAGATGTGGGGTCCTCAGAAGATGACTGAGATGGGAACAAAATTCTCTCCAAGTCTCTGTGCCTCTCCTCATCCCCAGCAAAAGGTACTCACATACCAGAGGAGGGCTCACAGTGAGGTAGGCGGCAGGACTCAACACCAGAGGCGGGGCCTGGACACAGGATCAAACTGAGGACTAGCAAAAACAGGACTGGGGCAGAAGCAGCTTTCCATAAGACACGCCCACCAGTGTGACATGGCAGTTTACCATTGCCATGGCAACACCTGGGAGTTACCACCCCTCTCCACGTCAATGACCTGACTACCCAAGAGCTACTATCCCTTCCCTAGAAATTGCTGCATAAACTGCCCCTTAATCTGCATGCAATTAAAAGTGGGTATAGGCCACTGGTATCACACCTGTAATTCCAGCACTTTCGGAGACCAAGGCTGGTATATCATGTGATGTCAAGAGTTCAAGACCAGTCTGGCCAACATGGTGAAACCCCATCTCTATTAAAAATACAGAATTAGCCAGGTGTGGTGGCAGGTGCCTGTAATCCCAGTTACTTGGGAGGTTGAGGCAGGAGAATCACTTGAACCTGGGTGGCAGAGGTTGCAGTGATCTGAGATCATGCCACTGCACTCCAGCCTGGGCAACTCCATCTCAAAAAAAAAAAAAAAAAAAAGGTGGGTATAAATATGACTGTAAAACTGCCCTGAGCTACTACCTACTCTCTGCATATAAGGATAGCCCTGCTCTGCAGGAGCAGTCACAGAGGCGTAACACTGCCAGGGCTGTAACACTGTCTCGTCAATAAAGCTGTTCACTTCTACCTCTGTTTGCCCTTGAATTCTTTCCTGGAAAAAGCCAAGAACCTTCATGGGCTAAGCCCCACCTTGGGGCTCACTTGTCCTGCATCAAGAGCACAATGACATCTCAGAGCCAGCCCCCAGCTATGGACTCCAGAAAAGCTGTCATGACAGTTAGGGAACCTGTGTGCCCTGCTATCCA